TCACCCTGTGACTAAGCCTTGGAGGAGACAAATAGAGCGCCGCGCCGCTGCGTGTTCCCCCAACTAAGATAGCGCCCGCCACTGTCGCGCACTTTCGAGCCGCGACAACGGCACATCTGTGCTACTCATGGGCTACTCTATCCTACCCACTGAATGGATTCTTCGACATGACTTCTGCTGAGAGTATTGCTTAACAAGCCATTACAAACCTCTCTGGTGCCCTTTGATGAAGTGATGCTTCCAATGCTTCGGTTTCCCGTTCTTTTGCCATCTGCTCAGCGAACGGTAAGGTTGTAGCAACAGATGGAATAATGTGAACGGCATTGAGAGACTCATTGCCAAACCTTACACTTCGTGCGCTAAATGAATCAAAACAACGTTCAAGGGTAAGAAACGGAGTAGAAAAGTTTCTTCCATAACAAACACTGAACACGGTCCTAAAATAATACATAATTAAAACCTCTGTGGCGTGCGTGTTGGAGTGGTGTTCAACTCCTGGACGGATGGTCGATTAGCTCTTTTGCTCCCATTTCCCTGCGCTGACGTATGACTGGAAATTAGATATTACTAACCTATTACACAATCATTTTTGAATTCACAAAGAAACCTTCGCGGAGAAGTTCTTCGAGGGGTAGATGGGGTAACAGGTACAGCGGTCCGACTTGACGCAGGCTCCCTGCTAAAACAAGACAGGTATTACTACATTAATAAATAGACATGTTGTACTGGGTTCAGCATGCAATACAATGATGACAAGAGTGGGATCTCAGTGTGAACACAATTTTCATGCTCTTGCCGAGACCGTGTTCATAAATAGGTTCGGGAAAATCGAAGAATGCTTGAAAAATAAATCCATGATTTGAGAAATTAGGAGATCAGGCAATAGTAGGATAGCAAATGAAAAGCTTTCGCTGATAAGATGAGATAGAGATGTAAAGGTACGGATTTAGGCGCAAAGAAGACAAACAGATTAGGCAACGTTGATTAATCATTGCAGCGCAGTCTTTCAATCTACTAATATCGTGACCTCCTAATTAAGAAAGAAAAACCCTTTATAAACAAAATAATTAAAATGGTTCGTTTCGCTCCTTCCTCAGACGAACCTTATTATTTCGTCAATCCCCGGAGCTCATCAGTGAGTTCCTAAGACTCCAGTCCTTTCAGAGAACTCTAGTGATCCCAATCTCCCACTCAACACATACCTTCTTCCATACCACCTGATTTCAAACTTGATTTTCTTGAGGCAAGCACTAATTTGGTGATTTTGAATCACATACGTAAAACTTTGAGGCGCTGAGCACGACCGCGCCTAGCGAACACTGGCAAAAATTTTCCATCAAAAGTTTGTACTCGAAAATGTGTGGCTCAGCATGCACAACAAACCAAATCAGCCCGCTGGCAGCATGAGTGCATCAACACACAGCCGCCCTTTTTCTCCCCTCTTGAGATAGCCGTCCATTTCCACATTCTCTACGCCAACTGACTTTTTAAAGGCATGCCCCAGGATCGCACTGGTGTGGCTCTTGCACACGAATGTGAATGTATCGGTGCCAAGTGGGCCGGCAGTGAAGAAAAAAGGAAAAGAATCCGTCGAAAACGCTCAGGTTGAGGGCTCACTCACCTTCCTAATTGGCTGTGCTAAAGGAACGAGAGACTAAGCGCGAAGAGGAGAGTATGGGGCGAGAGAGCGCATCAGATGAGAGAGCACCAGACAACGGCCTGATAAGAGAGCTCGTTCGCTGCAGCTCGAGCAGCTTACTTTGCAAGCCCAAAGCGTTCTTGTCGGTCGAATTCCGTGCACGTGAACGCCACATTTGTGATTGTCCCCTAGGGTTCTATACTTCTGACCGAAGAGAAGAGTTATAAAAAACCTCTGCCTGGGTTGTGCCTTTAATGGGCTTATGTGTCGGATTTTGTGCTTGCAATCGTATTCTGACACCTACCTAATTGCTACCTCACTGCTCCAGAAAAAAAATCGCTAAAAGAGCAGTAATCGATTTTTCGGGTTATCTAAATTATACGTGCCGCCCAACTCAAGGTCAGGATGAGAGGGGACAGAAAAAATTCTTCGGTGGCGCGTACTGAGGACTTCTCAGCTGCGGCAAGACCGATGAAAGGACCACCCAGCCCGCTGACACATCGCCTGAAGCAGTAGCGAAGGTCGCTGGCAACTTACTAACACCATCAATGGTGCGTGAGTGAAATGAATTGTAGCTAACGTATGGATGTCTTCTCGCGCATAGAAGAATTGGATTCTTTAAAGCAACACTCCCAGCAGAAGTCGTGTCGAAAATCTACTCAAAGGGTGGGATAGAGTAGCACATGAGTAGCACAGATGTGCCATTGTCGCGGCTCGAAAGTGCGCAACAATAGCGCAGAGTCTTACAAAGTCAGCATTTGGCGACCAATTTTAGCAGTTGGAAAAGTTACGGTGGGCACACCCCATGATACCCAATGCAGATTACTGCGTAGCGGCTAATGCAAATTGGGTGTGGTTCGCTAGTTCGGAAAGGTTAAACTTTTCCGCTTTTAATATGCGAAAGTTTTGTCGCTGTGGGAACTCCAGATCCACTGCTGATCAGTGGTTTACCTGAGATTCTCGCAGCGAAAATGTCTACTGCTGCGAAAGCGCGGGAAAATAGCTTTCTGTTCAGGCTCCCTACGCCCATTCAAATACGCGCAGGTTGATTTATCAGTGGAGCGGGCAAGCTCGTACAACTCGCCTAGCCCTGCCCCTTTTTTTTCAAAAATTTAGGTTTCAGGCTTCATCGAGGTTTTCTTCGCTTCTTTTTTTTCATTTTTGTCATTTCAGCATTCACAGCTTCATTATCAAACGCAGCGAGCCCATTCGATCTTGGTGTGTTGCTTGAATGTATAATGTTCCATTGTTAAACATGATCCGTATTGAGATGAAAGAAGTCAAAGTTAACCCCTCCGAAGTGGTACCAACTGAAATTGAAACCTTTGGACCCGTTCTCCAATGTCGATACTTACATACACCATTCCTACTAAACGGTAAAGTTAGAGTACGATGAATGATAGCAGGACCTAATGTGTTGAAATATAGAGAGAGACCGCTCTGACCCCAGCAACACGCGAACGCGTCCGCGCCGCCGGCGAGCTTTTTATGGCCGTCAGGTGCTGAAAAGAATAGAATATTGCATAAGAGTTTTCACCCAATGATGACTTGATAGTGCATTGACCGAGGAAGAACAGATGAAGCGCAAAAAGCTGAGTGTAGGAGTAGGAAATCGAACCCCTTGATTCCACTTTATAAAGAAACAAAGGGAAAGATCTGCTCAACCTTGCTAAACCCCTAATTTCAGCGTGCTCCCTGTGAGGACGTTTATGGGCTGAACATCATCGAGCACAGCCTCGGCAACCGATACCTTAGTTACTTCAAACCCGTCTTATGGTTGTATTGCGCCTAAACTATCAAACTGCACCGATATATGTGATTAGTGCCCTCCACCTCTGAGAATATGTATAAAGCAGGCATTGAACGAGAACGACTACACTCCTTCACTTGCAAAACGAATCTATCACGGATACTGCCCTGAAACGTGCTTCATTTTGCGACTGAGCAAAAATCACCTCGATAGAGCATTTCTTTGTCTTTTCCTTCCTTTTCAAAGCGGAGTTAGGTGAAGCTCTAAATAAATTCCTTTGCTTGTACTATCAGCAACTGTCTTGTAAACTTTACAACATATGTAATTGGAAGATGAGTAAGTGAGTGTTACTCAGATACAAGAAGAAAGCATCAAATTTCAAAAAATAACTGAACGAAACAGAAATAGCAAGGAAAAGCTTAGACGCACACTTCCCCTCCGGTCTTCGCGGGAGCGGTGTTTGGCAAAACAGTCGTCGAATCGTCCACGTGAGATGGAGTGGTGTTCATTTCGTCATCGTTACGGGATGGTTGAAGCCTAAGAAGAAAAAAAACTGATAAGCTTCAATAAGTTTAGGAAATGGGGCCTTCACCCATAGTTACTGCCCTTTTTTGAAATGATTTCGCAATCTAAACTGGTTTCATCTTCATAGATGGATTGACTACCCTTCCTGAGCCCTAGCCTGAGCACGAATATCACTCGTATGCCGCCTCTTTTCGCAAAAAGTAGAGTAACCACAGGCAAGTCGAAGCGAACTATGATAAAAATCAGAAAGAGTACCGATTCGATTGAGCAGTGAAACTTTTTGCATCCGTAATCAGCAGCATCCACATGCCTCGTTATAAGGGTAATTTAAGAGCTTCTCGTAGATTGAGAGCGCCGTCAGATTCTGTACGAAATCTCTTCGATCGCCGTCTGGAAAAAGGCCGTGAGATTGAAACAAATGTATTGAACTTTTTGGTGCTTATTTCCACTGCAGCACTTGACCTACACTACTGAATTACTAATACACGTGGCATCAGCATCAAGAACAATGACAAAAGAAAAAAAAAACATTTCATTTTCTCTGAGATACTCCTACTAACTAGGGAAGGTCATCAGGTTGGTCCGGTCGTTAGCAGTGAGTTCCATACCGCTGCAGACGTCTCAAGACGTTGAGCTCAAAATTGCCTTCACTATCTGCTAATCGGTTCTTTGAACGGCGTTATAAAGCAAGAAATGCAGCGGTAGTGCCCCGGTATCGCAGGCAAGAGGTGGCGGAACGGTTTTTCGAGAAGCCTGTTTTTTTATTTTTGTTGGCAAATGAGGAAAAAAGGCGAGCAGTTCCCACAACCTTTTGCCTTACGAAACAGGGAAATACCGCCTGCGCTTCCCTGCTTGAATACTCCGTTCGAAAAATCGTTTAAGCTGTTCGTGAAGAGAGTTTTGAGCTCAGCGTCAAAGCGAGTGCAGGTTATAGAACTTATTACAAATGGCCGGACCGACCTGATGAACCTCCCCTGGTGAGTCCACAATAACTAGACGTCCTGCCGTGACAAACAGAACTTACCTATCCAACTTCTTCGGAGAGCTCTCAGAAGAAACCGAGAACGAACGGCTTTTCCTACGCCGCGAACCGGAGGGAATTTGAATGAGTGAAGTTCCTTCAGCAAGATCACTGGATGCACATTTCCTGAAATTAAAGACATGGTACTGGTGAAAATATTAAAGCTGCAACAAACATTACATAAAAACTTCGGGAGAACAGCTAATTACATAGCGGAAATCGAAAACCCAAATTCAAAAAAAGGCAAAAGCAAATCTATCACATCATAAAAAAAACAAGACTGGAGAGTTGGAAAGACAGTTTTGAAACAACCCACAGCCCCACCTTGAAATTTATTTTTATTTCATTCTATGCTCTGTGAGGCCGATGTCATAGTTTGCGAATCGAGCGATTCGCTAGCGAATCGCTGGATCCGAGCGTTGCGCCAGCGAATCGAACTTTGCACCAGCGAGTCGAACGATGTACCAGCGAGTCGAACTAGGTACCAGCGACTCAATAGTGGCGGGACCCAACTTTCAAAGGAAGCCCGCCACTTTCAAACAGTGTCCACTGTCAAGTCCCGCCACTTTCAAACAGCGTCCACTGTCACGTGACACTGTTTGAATGTGGCGGGCTTCCTTTAAAAGTTGGGTCCCGCCACTATTGAGTCGCTGGTACCTAGTTCGACTCGCTGGTGCAACGTTCGATTCGCTGGCGCAACGCTCGGATCAGCGATTCGCTAGCGAATCGCTCGATTCGCAAACTATGACATCGGCCTAATCCTTGACCATCAGAGTCAACAATAAAACAGACTCTTCGGAGAATCGATAGATACCAGATTTGCAGTAATTAAAGGACTTAAAAGTAATTTATTGTCGAAAAAATTTGGAAGTTAGCGCCAGCCCTAGTTCGGATTTTCTGGCGCCAGTATCGTTGTTGGGCGACAACGACATATAAACGAGTAGATGTGCGCGCAGTGAAATGGTGCGGTACTCACTGACCACATTTCCTAGTTCCTAAAAATCCTAAAAGGCGTGCGTATGGGAGCACTTAAGACGTTCTGTCGAATATGACGATTGCCTCGAATGACCACCGAGCACGCAACGCCAAGATCTACAGTGGCCAAGTCTCGCGTCGGAGAGGTCAAAGTCCCCGTTGCGAGCGTTTTAAAAATCTTAATACCGCCACTTTAGAAGATCACATCCTAGGATATCACGGTTCTCACATTGCGAGTTTCTCGTGGGCCTACTTCTCCAGGCGACGTCGGTATAGGATCAGCGGGTGGATCGCCTTGCGTAGATGTCAACTTTGTGCGATGCAAACTCCATTGTTGAGAAAGACGATTGGACCGCTGTGCGCAGAAGAGTCCGCTCCCTTTATCTATCACCCATGGAAGTTCTCAGAGTATACGAGAAATAACAAGAAAGAATGAAGAAACTTTCTTTCTAACCTAACAGAAACATGCAGAACTGATTACACAACAAAATAGTAAATCTTACTTATGAAATCCCATTGGATTCCTAGAGTTGGTGTCATTAGAGGAATCTGAGGGCAAATCGTAAACCGCAACAACGCTCGATGTATCGTTTTCGTCGGGCTTATCCGGTCTAAAATCTCTGATTTACAGCTCTGCAAAGCTCAGTAAATATGAGAATAACCAGTTTTCATTCAAGACGAAAATTACATTAGAAATGAGTATTAGGTTGTCTTGAAAGTTCGTGCGTATATTCAACTTCGTTTTGAGCCCACTATATTTCGAGCAAAATCATTACCTATCATAAATACATGTACCATCACTATCAGTGACTCGTCGCCAACAAGCAACCAGAGAGTGATCGCTTAGCTAACAAAAGCCCGGCGGTTACAAGATGAAAAGGCAGTGACATCGACTTCGAGGTGCTTAAGAGAATTTTTTAATCTGCCAGAAGGTTGCTGAGCAAAAAGGACAGATGGACCCTTCGGAAGAGGCTGATCTCCGTTGCACGGTGAATAACTTTCCGGGTGAGCTTTCAACCTTTCTAGAGCTGTGTTATTCTCGAAAAGTGTGGCCTCGGCTGTCGTAGAGAGGATATAGTTTTTTGAGTTTTGGAGACAGTTGCTGGAGTTTCGCTGTGATTCTCTGCCACTGATCACAAAAACCTGACTGACTTCACAGCTGTAACGAGGGAGAGGTTTCCAGTGGTTAACTTGTAAACGCTCCAACAAAGGCGGAGCATGACCTTGTGGTGAATTTGACCGTTTTTAGCCCCTTATGCTCCATCCAGAAAGGGGCATATGCGTGCGGTTGGAACGAAACCTGCACTTCTCAACTGCCCTGGCGGCTTTGTTCATCCAGTGCGTGCGGGTGAAGTAGGAAGCAAGTCATAGACCTAACTCACCGCACTCCTGTCATCAGTGGTCAATTCTTAGGGGAATTTTTAGCAGAGCTTCAACCCTTTTACGAAGGAGCGAAAATCTCCATGAACAGTGCATCTGTAACACCAGGGCGTAGTGGCTAGACAGCAGGTTAGCCCTGAGAAAGCACAGCCTCTCCGAATCCGACACCGGTGGCTATGCTGGCACAGGGTGTTTTTTCACGGCTGTAGTCTTCTGAGCAAAGAAGATCCATTCATACTGATACCTCATGGCCGGAAACCACAAGGGGGTGTATTGCAAAGCAGATATTACTTGCGGCTTGGTTCTTGGCCCAGTAGATTCTTGAATTAGAGCGTGAAAAACATGGCTTTTTCCTTTTTTCCTGGAACTCGATAAAGGTGTCTAGTTGGGCATGGTCCGGCTATAAGTTACCACACCGTGTGCCCCTCCACAGATTACGTAAAAATAATTAGAAATTGCTGAAGGAGCTTGTGGCATGAGACTCAAAAAATACTCACGAACTTCAGAGACAATCTAATGTAAGTAATTGGATCTGTGGAAAAAAGGCAGCCTTCTTTCTACTCTTCCAATCCCAAATAAAACATTTATCAACGAATGGCTTGAGAGAAAGACAAAATTCTCATAAGCAGCGCCCAACGAATCCGTTGAGGCGTTGCTCCCATAGAAATCGCATTTGAGGTGCACTTGGTCAGTAGCGCTCAAATCATTAGTCGCACCTTTTTTTCGGCGGCAACTTTTTTTTACTGAAACAAAATAGCCCAAATTTCGAAATGTTTTAGAGACAAGCCTCCTGCATTAAATCAGTATTGATGAATGAAAGAATTAAAATTGGAGAAATATTTTAATGGAAATTCACAAAAATAACCGTACTGGAAATCCACAAAAATGACCGAATTTCAACTTGAAATTATTGTAAAAAGTTTACAATCCAATGTAACAAGGATGAGTGACAATAAGCGAATGTAGTGTTGTTGTTTGTTGAGAACCTTCTGGAGTCCCTGAAAGCTTGACATGGCCTGAGTATGAGATCAGTAAATGAATGCAATGATTATTGGAGCGTCCTGCTCCATTTTTCTTCAAATTTAGCTAGTTTCTCGTGGATGGTTCTGATTCTTTCTCCTGCCGAAAAGAAGCACGCAATGCTTTCGATACCACTCTTGCTTACAAGGTGTGTGACGATGGATCGCTTTACTGCTAGGAGACCAAGTAAATACCGTGCAGCTGCCTTACTGTGGATACTAAACACCTCCTAGAGTCTAACCGCATCCGTCCCCATTCACCACCTTGAATTCTATGCAGTGCTCGCGCTTTTTACGAACTACCATAACCGAGCCTCTGCCCTGCTTTATGAATGGAGTTGGTACTTCAGAACGTTTTCGATTAGAATGCTATTCACCCTAGTGTGCTCGCCGCCAGACATTTGATTTACTATCATCGCTCCAGATGACGCCAAAGCTCTACGGCGGGCTTCAGTTCAGGTGTGCGCAGGCCCATTCCATCCTATCTCTTCGCACTGATAACTTCACAAAATTCGAGAAGTTAATGTAGACGTCTTCCTAGATCTACATTCCAAGTGGAGTTGTGCATCAACACATATGGCAACAGCACGCTACTGGCTTCGTCCTAAAGTAATACAGTAATCCAACTCATCACACTACTGTGCAAGAACGCTTTCCGCAGCATGGCGTGCTTTCAACAGACAGCCAAATTCAGCTGCATGTCCTGAGCTTGATCGTGTCATCAGTTGAGAAGCTGGAAATGGCTCCCCCACTTTCTTCACGATTTGGGGCGCGGCCGCGGCGAGCGCGGCCGAGTCGATAGTGCCCGCGAACTGTGTGGGTAAATTTGAAAACGCATCACCACCACAGTTCGCGGGCACTATCGACTCGTCCGCGCTCGCCGCGGCCGCGCCCCAAATCGTGAAGAAAGTGGGGGAGCCGCTGGAAATCCCCTTGGCAGGAAAAGCAGCCGTGGAACATTGGCGAGAAACTCATTCAGTTTGAAGAAAATAGAAGAAGTATATAAAGAAATTATTTACCGATTCCATACATAAGCCCTGCTGAGCTTTCAGCGACTCTGAAAGATTATTATCGAAGCACTGAATCTGCTTACAATTAGCGTTATTTATTGAGAAGTCAATCGTTTTATTGAATCGCAAACTTTTTACGAAGTTCGATTCTCGAATATTGACATTACTTTTCAGTATAGACCTTGTAATATTAAATAATTAAAACTAAAAGTATAAATAGTAATTCAGCTTCGTAGCCGAAATTGTTAAAAACAATTTATTGGCTTACGTTTCCGCGCTATCGCCTTCTTCGGAGCCTGGAATGACAAGGAGTACTTGAAAAACTACCCGTTTGAACCCTATTCCAACCTACAGAAGTCAACGAATCGTAGGCTACTGAGACTAACTTCCGGGAACGTCGACTTAACGGTCCACCTGTCACCCTGAGCTGGTGGAAAAATCCTTCCGGCAGGGCCGAGTGCTACTACAGTAATCGACAGGAGGTAGGTTGCCAGGGATCAGCGGCGTGCTCGGAATCGGGGGCTGGGGACCATCCACGTCAACGTTGAGTTAGTGTTCACGGTTCTACGGCATTGCCTTAGTAGCCTACGATCCTCACTTCTGCAGGCTGAGATAGTGTTTGGACGGGTAGTTCCCAAATGTTCCCTGTTCTTCCGAGCTCTCAAGATGGCGATAAAGCAGAAACGTCAGTAGAATAAACCCGTATAATCCCGGTTGAAATCTGAATTATTCTAACATCTGATGAAATACTTATAATTCTTTGATTTCCCTCCATTTCAAGAAGAATATGCTGGTTCAATGAAGAGGTTCTAAGCATAGCAAAATTTGAATTCGTTTGATCTGACAGAAAAAATTACTGCCGAAAGTATTTGGCCAAACACTTTTGAGCGCTGTTGTAAACTATGACGATGATTTGAGGAGCCGGCATTTGCCAAAATGTGGTTTTTACTTCCTATCAATGATAGCACTCATCAAACAAGATTTATTGGGATGTAATATGCAATGAGAGAATACAACGAAACCGTCGTCATCGACTTTGTCTAACTTCACCCTACGACGCAGTCACTAACCTTACTGACACAGCCTGCCCATCCTCCATTGTGGTGGTATTTCTGGACGTTCTTCTTCCCGATCGCGTCCCCACCATACCACCGATATCTAAAATGAGCTTAGTATACTAAGAACTTGTAAAATTCATCTAGATTCACAAAAATCACACATCGACCACTTAAATAGCATTTTCACCTTACCAACGCACTTTCCCACTGATCATTGGTGAACAGAACTAGCTAGTGAACGAATGTTTTTGCGTAGAGAGAAAGTTACTTAATTTCTACACCAAGAACAAATGGAACAGTAGCTAACATCCACTATAACCATAACTCCACTTGACTGCAATTTAAGATAAATCATGGCGGAATGCCAACTAATCTGTTCCCGCTATGAATTCGTAGTTTGGACACTCACTTGCCTACTGCTCGTGACGCGATGCAAATATAAAAGGATAAAGGATAAAGCATTTGCCGTTGATCAATCCCTTTTTGGGATGCGGCACGCATTCTACTTCCATTTGTACATTCGTAGTGGCGTTTGAATGCGATGTGGCCTATACAATGACTTGCGGGGCCAGCCGATGTACAAGTCAGTGTTTTTATCCTCCCAGACAAGTCTGGTACCAATTAACCGACCCCGGAGGGATGGAAGGCTTGGTTGGCCCGGGCGACTCACGACCCCGGACCGCTCGCGTGGTAAGCGTGCCACTTGCCACTACACCACTTCCGCCCTTGATGCAAATATACGGGGCAGAAAACTATTAATACTCCCTCAGAATTGTGAGAAAAGCAACATTCGAACAAGCGTTCGTTGAAGCCTTATCATTCAGATAGGAATATCAAAGTGTATTTCAATGGAAAAGAGCTAGAACAACAAATCATCGATCTGAAGGAGTACGGACAAACCGATGTTTTCATCGCTTATGATCGATCAGGCCAAAGAATAAAAAGAGTAGAGGGAGTGCCACAACCGCGACACCATCAGTGAATTGAGTTCCGTATGAGAAATCAAACCTTCCATTTCGCTGAAGTCGAACAATCCCTATTTCAATTGTCTGGATATTGCACGACTACCTCTTGGAAATCAAAGGCCCAAACGCAATATAGTCAGTGCGATGCCCTCCACCCTCTGATAAGCACACTATCTTGAGTTGCCGAGTCGGGTCATCTCAATACTGCTTTACCATACACCATGGTAGCTGTGTCGAGAAGACTTTCCTTGTTTTCAGCCAAACAGTGGTATTTGAAAATACACTGACGCGGAGCAAAGACAGCACTAGTTCAATGGAGCGCAGGGGATAAAGCTACTTCCAAAGGATGGGGCACAGGGTCAATCGTCCTTTCGGGTGATACGAACCGGGCAGGGTAGTTTTCGGCCTAGGAATGGGGCTCATGAGCTTGCGCCAAAATTTTCCTTCACGGAGCGTCCAGATCTTTGCTACAGTTTCTGGTAATGGCGCCCGGATGCACCTCCGATTGAGGCTGACCATCTGAGCTGTCGTCTTTGCCAATGCTATTGAGCCAATAGCTCATTACCCGATCAGTGGCAGACTGGGGCAAACATGGCGCTGATCTTGCCTACCGCTCTCCTTGCAAGGTTCTTCTTTGAAAGGTCGTATTTCATAATTGTTGAGTTTGGAAGCTAATCCATTTCAATGCTCCCTAATTATCTCGTTGCGCATTCGAGTGCCTGAATATCCTGACGGCTGATGTTCTTCAGAATTTCAAATTATTTGATGAT